ATTTTCAAAATGGTCAAAATTTTCTAATTGTCAAAATTGAATTTTCCCGCCAAAAGTGAACGCAGCGCCCTCTATGCGTAGTGTTTTGGATTCGTCTCGAAAAGACCTTTCCAATGAGCCCCCACTCGACCTATGTTGCCATTTAAGATTTTCGACCCCCCTCGTGCCCCACGTGCCCCCTTAGGGGTGGGGGGTTGTAACCCCCTCAAAAGATAGATTTTTTGAAAAATTGTTTCACGTGTTTCAGCGTTTTTTTTTAATACCAATGGTTTTTGAAATATTTGACCGTTCCGGAACTTTTTCCCATCACTGTATATATATATTTAATATTTATACATGCACTCCAATTTACAATACTAATATAACATAAAGGCATGTAACAGAGTAGTTACGAGAAAATTATCCCCATTCCTTCTATCTTTTCTTCCGAGTTCCGCGGTGTAAATTCCAGCGTGGCGTATATACCGGAGTTACCCTAGCGCAATGCGAGACTTCAAAATTAACAATATTCTCAGCCAGAGCGACCGAAGCCCCATTGCGAATTCGGAGCGTCGAGCGACACGCGCATTGCGGGCTGTGATTGGTGCGCGGTAACTTATTCTTACTTTTGAGGATTATAGGCGTTGAGCCGTTTAGAGTAAGCTAATTTTCCCTAAATCCGCGTAGGATGGTAATTACATGACTGTCAAAGCGTATGAAAATGATTTCTTAACTCCACGCGGAATTATCCTGCCTAGAATTTCAACGCATCGGCACGCGGCACGTGCCTCACGGGCGCTCCGATTGGCTCACGCAGCACGCGTGTCACGTGGTGACAATACGATAGAGTCGCACGTCGCCGAGTAAGTTTCCCGCTAGGAATATTCACAATTTTAACAATAGAAATATTTTAAATAGACGATGTAAGATACAAAAATAACTGAGCGCAAAATGAAAAGATGAAACAACAAAAACATTCGCAAAAAAAACAAAATTATAATATATTCTCGCGGAGGGCAGGACGTAACACATGCAACGAATTAAAGGTCTCAAGTATAAAGTCAACTAGATTTTTTGAAACTGCCATAACAATATCGTCTAGATAACGAAAATGAAACAAGGATTGGAAACCCAAAGTCTCTAATGCTTTTACTAGCTTTTATTAGCTTAAATAAATTAAATAGTTTGATCAATGGACATAAAAACATACTCCCAAGAGAAAATGAAAAAATGT